CAGTAGTTTACTGTTCTTATGTGTGTGTCTTTTGCACATGCACAAAATTGCCTCCGAGGTAAAGTGTGATTGTTTACTTGGCAGGTATCCACGTCTTCAACCCTACAAGGTTTTCCAAGCACTTTCCACCAGTTTATGCTCTTGTTCACATGATGTGTGAATTCCTGTTTCTCCACATCCTTGCCAACATTTGATATTGTCAGGTTTCTTATCTTTCCCAATCACATGGATGCAAAATTCAATCTCATGGCTTCTTTAATTATATTTCCTTGATGCTGAGGTTGAATATCTTTTCATATGTTACCTAAATATTTGGGATTCTTATTCTGTGAAGTACCTGTTCACACCTTTTGCTCATTTTCTACTGGACTATTTGCATTGTAAAAAATAAATTTGTGGACATTCTTCATATCTTCATATCAGGAGTTTTGATTTTTACTGTGACCAAATTTAGCTATCTTTTATGTTCACATTTGTACTTTTTTATTTATTTAAAAGAGTAAAAAAAGTACAATATAGTAATAGGGGGATTTACCGAATTACAGACAAAGTGGTAGGACATTATCAATGGTTGTTATTTTACCTATTGGCATCTTTAAGATAGTTCCTCAGGAAAACAAATAGACAAATAATAGTGAGTTAAAGACAAAAATGGTAGGAAATTATCAATGGTTGTTGTACTATACTTTGGTTTCTTCAAAGTGGTTTCTAGGAAAAACAAATAGAGCCATACATGAGTGATCAATTAAATAATCATTGACTATTCTCAATGGTTGTTGTTGAAAACACATAGTAATAAACACACATCCATTTACGAAATGTACTTTTTCTATAAGAAATCCTCCTCTGCCTAAAGTTGTAGGGTTGCTTTTTTATATATTTTCTCTCAAATATATCAAACTTTTGCTTTTTAAATTTAGATCTCTAGTCCATTTTGAGCTTTTATTTACATGGCTTGTGGGTCCTAATTCTATATATTTCAAATTTTAAAAGTTTATCTATCTTTTCTTACTTTTAATGATGAGAAATATTGTTCTTATAATAAGCTATTCTAAACAATTTTAAGGTTCAATTTGATTTTTTAAAAATGCCTACTTTGTTTGCACAATATTTTCAGTCGGTTTGACCTGATTCTGCCTGTTAATTTCACATTCCACACTCAGGGTGCTGGTGGGTAGAGCTGAGTCCACAGTTGAGCCCATTTCCATAGGGATGACAACCTGAGCTCCTCCATAGAGCTTGCCAGTTGGGAGGGAAAACAAAAGCTTACGTACAGGTCTGTTGTACCTCTCCTGCTTCTGTTTGCAAAGTGCTGGCACCTCTATCTGACTTGGTCTCACGACAGCGCTATCAAACCCAAGTTCAGCTCAGGAAACCAAGATTCAAAGATGTTTGTTTGTTGTTGCCCAAGCTTTGTAAGCGCAGGTGCTGTGATTACAGTTGGCATTTTTCTACTCCTGCCTCAGTACTTGGAACTGACTGCCCTGCCTCTTATCCTGTATTCTTTTCCAGAGGATTTTGTCCGGGAGGCAAGTATTTAGACAATGAATTTTTGATACCTAAAATGGGACATGGTATAAAGTTGGAGTCACATTCTGTGGTTTTGGCTGAGCTAATTAATAAAAGTTCATCATTACAAACCCCCACTTTTATTTAGTATCCTGTCTCAGGAAAGGAAGAATTGGTGCTGTCTGAATTAAAGCATGCTTTCGTACTATTTTCTGTTTTCACACTTAGACACTTGATTACCAAACTTTGAATTTTGCTTCCTTTTAAAGCATCTGTCCACATTAAATCATCTTGGTGTTTGTGTTTGCTTTTACACTCTTCCATGGCTTTTATAGGCAGCTTGGAAAACAAAAGGCCTATTCTGTACTACCTTGGCACGCTCCATGTCACCTGTGAACATGTAAGAGGAAAAAGATGATTTAGTTTCTTCGCTCAGATATCGATAGCATTGTCTGAGGATTCTAGGCTAAATTAGGTGGGAAAAAAATCTGGTCATTTTGAAAGCGTGTGACTTTAAAGTCTGGACAAGCAATCAGCAGACTTTTTCTGTGAGGATTCTAGCAGTAAATATTAGGCTTTACAGGCTGTGTGATCTTTGTAACAATTACTCAACAACTACTCCACTCTACCAACGTAGCTCAAAAGCAGCCATAGGTGATATGCACACAAACGCACTGGCCTTGCGCCAGGAAGACTACTTAGAAGAACAGCGAGCAGATTTGGCCTCTACTCCATAGTTTGCTGACCCTTGTTTTTGATTTTTTCAGCTTTATCTACCCCGAATCTAATCCTTTTAATGAAGTGATTTCTTACAAATCAAACTTCTAGCAGCAAGATCCCTACTGGGTTATTTCTGCAAAAGTCAAGTCTGATATTTGCAAAGATAACCCATTACACTCTAAGCTCATTAAGGGTCAGAAGGGGGTCTAATATTATTTGGTCACCTGTTAATCTCTCTCTCCCGGAGATTAGATTTGCTGCCAGCTATAACCTTACTTGGTCTGGGCACATAACAGCCCCTGACTTCTTCCTGTGTTTAAACCTCTTCACAATTATAGAAGTGCTCAAGGTCAGAAACTGTTCAGTCAGCATTTTCTTTCACTGTGGCCATCAGGGCTACAGATCTGAAAAGTATTTTTACTTCTTCCAGTTAAGTCCTCTGAGTGAAAAATATCTGATGCAAATTAAAATGATGCTGAGATTCCATCTCATCCCAGAAAGAATGGCAGTTATCACGAAATCAACCAATAACAAATGCTGGTAGGGCTGTGGAGGAAAAAGAAACTCCTCCACTGTTGGTGGGAGCGTAGACTGGTGCAACCATAGCGGAAATCAGTGTGGAGATTCCTCAAAAAACTAAAACTACAGGTTCCATTTGACCCAGCTGTTCCCCTTCTTGGTATCTTCCCAAAAGAATTAAAAGCATCATACTGCTGTGATAGATGCCCACCCATGTTTATAGCAGCACAGTTTGTAATAGCTGAATCTTGGGAACAACCCAAATGCCTATCAATAGATGAATGGATAAAGAAGATGTGGTTTGTTGTTAGTGGTTTTTTTTTTTACAATGGCATATTATTCTGCCATAAAGAAGGATAAACTCCAGACATTTCTAGGTAAATGGATGCACTTTGAGACCATACTCTTCAATGAGATAAGTTGGACATACATGTTTAAATACTGGATTGTTTCTCTGATGTGAGAAATCAAAAGGGTAAATAAGGACCAAAATGTATAATAGATATTGGGAAATAGGAAGAAAATGTTCAAATGGGAGGGGGAACAAGGAAGAGGGAGGGAAAAAGGAAGGAAGAGAAAAGAAATAGAATAGAAGGGAAAATCTGAAAACAAAACTTTTGTCAATAGGAGGAGAAGAGGGGTTGAAGGGAGGGGAGGAGTCTAGGGGGGAAAGAATCAAAATAGATCACATACAGGTACAAACTTCCTATGATGAATGTGATCATTGTGTCTATCTAAAATGTACAAAAAAATTAATTTTAAAAAATACCTGATGACTGAGTTGAAAATAGACCTGGTTTGTGATTTTATAGTAATTTTCTCACATTATGTTTTGGTTTCCTGTGGGTGCTTTGGGAATTGTAACACCTTTTTGTATTAAAGATTCTGGCGTGCAAGTCAATGTAAGAAGGGTTGCTGTCTAACATGAATTCTGCAGATAAATCTTTCCCATGAAAGGAAAGTTTCTACTAACAAATATTTTGACAATGGGTATTTTAAAATATCTGTTGCTTTGTCTGCTGTACAATATAGGATTACATTTTTATGTGAGATTCTAACAAGGTATAAGAATACTTTCTCACTCCACTGTACTTCTAATTTTTAAATTAGCATTTTCTGATATAAAAGTAATATAGTTTTAGAGAAGAAAATTGGGGCAATTGAGAAAACCATAAATAAGAAAAGTAAAATCATTCATAATCCGACTCTTTGCAGGCAAGTAGTGCTAATATTTTAATGACTATCTTTTTGGAATGTCTCTGTACACAAATACATATTGGCTATACAATTTTCCTGTGCAGAAGATGATAACAAAACACTTTTATAAGCTACATTTTACTGAAGAATACATAATGGATACTTTTAAGTTGATAAATAAGGATCAACAAAATTCTGATGACTATGACATTCTGCAGTTATAAATGTACTTACTGTAGTCCACACAGAGAGTTTCCTAGTGGAGAATTTTAAGTGCTTTGTGCTTTTCCATTATTATAGAGAATGCTAAGGTAAGCATTCTCATATTTTTCTTATTGGCCTGCCAGAGCATCTCTTCATGATAAATTCCTAGAAGTGACATTGGCAGAATTACGTGTGTGTGTACTATGTATACATAATTTTGATGCAGAGAAGTTTATGCCCAAACTATATTCCCCCAAGAGTTAAGGAGGGTAGTTCATATCCTTGTGCATCTTGTAAATTTTCTGTAATCTCAGCATCCTTTGTGGTTATTTTGTATTTTTTAAACAGCACCTATATAGTACTTACTGTGTCAGAGATTGTTAAGTGCTTTTATGAATATTAACTATTTAGGTCTTTGTAATACAGTGAGGCCAAATGTGGTGGTGCCTCCCTGTAATCCCAGCACCTGGGAGACTGAGGCAGGAGGATTGCCATAAGTTCGATGCCAGCCTGGGAGATATAATGAGTTCAAGGCCAGCTTGGCCTATATAGCAAGACCTTGTCTCAAAACAAAACAAAACAGCCCAAGGAAATGGGCACTGTTAACACACCTAACTTACAGATGAAGAAACTGTTGTGTGACTTGAAGGCCATACACCTTGTGATGGGAAACCAGTACCTGGTCCGACCTGGTGATTCTAGAGCCCGTTCTCATGACTACAGGCCCTGCTGCCTCTTGGAGGAAAAGCTTAGCTGGACAGCAGGGCCAGACAGTCCAACCCTAATTCCCAGCCACCTATATTTCCAGTATTTTTATCTTAATTATAAAATGATCTCTTTGATTTTTTTAGGGTGTATCATGGTCAAAAGAAATCACAAGAGGCTCTGCCCCACTACCAAGAGGCACTGAAATACACGGAGATCAGCAAAGGTGAAGAAAGTCTTGAGTACGTATCCATACTGAGGGAATTAGCAGGTGCAGAGCAAGCGCTGGGATTCCACGACACAGCCATCAATCATTTCTTACAGGTAAGGGGCGATTGGTGTCACCAGAGCTTTGCTAGACACATGCTTGTCATAAACACAAGCGGCACAGAAGCTCAGACGGTGCCTAGCTTTGCCATTTGCTCTAGGTGAGAACACCTGCCCTGGAGTTGGTGTGCAGTGAAGATGTTCTTATTAGGTGCCCTAGCAGGAATGCTGGACAGTGGTCTCCTGAGGCCAGCGGCACATTCTCCAAACAGCCAGAGGCTCCTTAAAGGTGGACTTTCTCATGTTACGTGCACTATTTACCAGTGACTTTTTTTATCCTTTAGTATCTATTTATTTAGAGCTTGTGTTACCAAACTGATCTCAATCTTTTTAGACTACACTCTTAAATCTTGACCGGAAGCCACCATTTAAGAGTTGTATCAGTTAGCTGCTATTTTCTTTTATCACTGTAAGATTCTTGAGCTGAATTTCTTCTCCAGGACATCACAGGGGCTTTCTGCTTTTCAGGTCTTCAACTGATTAGATGAGTTCCACGGTTCTGAATGAGGGTAATCGCCTTTACTTAAATTCCGTTGATCATAAATATTAATCACATCTACAAAAGATAGTCACGGTAACATCTAGACTGATGTTTGACCGAACAATTGAGCGTTATAACCTAATCAAATTGACACAGAAAATTAACCATCCTAGGGAATTTGATATCTTTGTTTCATATCATCTGCTAAATGCACTTTTTTATTCTTAGAGAATTTAAAATATAGACTATTCCATTCCTGTTATTTCAAATGAGATATAATGACAGGGAGTAAGTTACTGCTACATCTTTTAAAATTTCTCTGACAATGTATACCACCACTCCCAGAGCGCCGGACAGCCTTTCTCTCAGTTTATCGGAATCATGTCTGAATCGTCATCTCCACTCTGTAACATGTTACTTACAGCTTATAGGTAAGGAAGACAGGAATTATAAAGGTCAAGCGCTAAACCCAGGGGCAGCTAGCCTAGGAGTGACTAGCGATACCCTGAATTCACAACCGTTATCTTATAGTAAGACTCTTCTGAGTGACGTGTAGACAATAGGTTGGGGGGTTTGTGCCAAGGCTGGAAGTGGAGAGATCACCTGGGAGGCTGCTGAAGCAGCGGAGGCAGAAATGATGGTGGCTGAAAGTAGAATGAGGAGTCTGGGAGCGAAGAGAAGGAGGGGAACTGGAGAAGATTCGGAAGGCAAAACCGATAGGATGTGGAGATGAGTTGGATATGGACAGGGAAAGGAAAGGAAAAATCAACCATGACGCCCATGTTTCTGGTCTAGACAGCCTCGTGGATGTTTCTGACATCTTCAGTGGAGGAACAGGGATCACTGGGTGATGGAATGGGGATAAGTGTTGTCTTTCATGATGAGTCTGAGATGCTCCTGGCATACAGGAAGTGACAACAAGGCAGCAACACTTAGATCATCTGGAATGGAGCTCAGGAAGGTACACACTTGGAGATGGTGATGCCTTGGGAGAGGATGATTGCCTAGGTGGAGGGAAGAAGGAAACTGCTGATTGATGACAGAATCTTTGGGAACTTCAGGATTCATGGCTAAGCAAAGGCAAAGCAAAAAGAGAAGAATTGGCTAGGAGGAAAAATAAAAAGTGAAAGAGATGCCCTCTATGCAGCTCCTTTTAATACCTTTTGCTACTATGGATACGTGGATTTGTTGTTGGGATAAATAACTTACTACTGGTAAAGTGACTAGCACTGTACCTGCTACATGGCACTCCATATGGATTTTTAAGAATTTCTCCTTTCCAGCTTTTTGTTTTCTTTCATTGATCATTGGGGCAATGATGAGGACAGAAATATTATGTAAAGAATGAGATGCGAGGATACAGAAATAATAAACGTAGGTATCAGTTTCAAAAGTGCTAAGAGGTGAAGATGAGCTCAGCATGGAACAGTCTGAAAAAAGACCTAAAAACGGACCATTGTATGATGCCATGCCTGGGCTGTAGAAATGGCGGAGCAGGCAGGGAGATTGACATCGTTGCTTATCAGTCTGGGAGGATGGCCCTGGGGCCTGAGCAGTGGATTGCACGATGGAGAAATAAGCAGGGAAATAAGTCAGAGATGACCGCAATGGTCCAGGTAGGGGATGATAATGGCCGGGATTCAGGTGGCTTCAGTGAGAACGGAGCGATGTGGACAGATCGGAGAGACATGTGGGCCAGTGGTCAGGGGATGGGGATGGGAGGTGGAGATTAAAGGAGGAGGAGGACTCCAGGTTTATACCAGGTTCTGGCTTAGATCACGGTAACTGGCTGCTGGGAACAGCCCCTGAGCTCCCATTTACTGAGTATGGGAGCACTGGCAAGGTTACAGTTTTTTGTCAGAATCAATAATGCTAAATGTTCTTAGCCAAAAATTTTGCTGGAGTACATTTCTACAAGTTGCTGGGAGGAGGGATCCGAATATTTTACAAGTCTTAATTCATACTTACCTTCTGCCAAGGAGTTTTCATTATCCTGTCATTAGAAGGGTGTTTTGTTACAGTTGCTGAGCCTACAGTGACACATTGTTGTCCCCAGCTCCACAGTTTACATCAGGGTTCATTCTGATGTCGTGCATTTTATGAATGTTGATAAATGTATAATGACATGCATCCACCCTTATGGTATCTACCTGCAAAGTCTTGGCCCTACCTTTTTCCTCTTCCAGTTTCTAAACCTCAGAGAAAGACATTAAGTGATAATATGCTCAGTGGCATCCAGCAAGAGCCGTTATCCCTGAGAGAATGCCCTAGAATGAAATGTGGTTTGTAAGCCCAACATCAACAGAATGTAGTCACATATTGTATTTGAGCTCGGTTTGGAGAAGCATTCCCCAAACCATGTAGGATCCTAGCCTGCTAGCAGAACTCATAAGTCTACCTGAAAAAGGTGTTTATAGCTGCATATTACCAAGACATATTAAGTTAAAATTAAATAAGTACATGTGATTTATATGGTGCATTAGACACGCCAGTGTGGATTTTGAATTGAGAGAGCGATCTACAACGAATGAATCTGTGAGACCTCAGTGTCACTCAGACCACGGTTTAGGAAATGCTGGGTTAGACACAGAAATGTAAATGTCTAAAATCAGGCATCAGCAAAAGGATTCACCTGTAAACATGATCTTCCAGAACAGCAGGATTTTTCACTCTTAGGATTCCTTAGCTCTACATGAATGGGAAATGAGTTAACTAATCCCTCTTGATTATGAGACTCAGAGTCACCATTTTAAAGTATTTTGCATTTGTCTTCCCTGTTTACAAGACGCTTTAAAATTATCTGTATTGAAATCTTGTGGTAGCGTGTTGCATAGATCATGTCCCTTTATCCCTGAACACTTTAGTGTATGCTTTATAAAAAGGTCATTCTCTTATGTAACTGGAATATAGTTATGAGAGTTAGGAACTTTAGCGTTGGCAGACATCCTCTTCCATTTTATTGATTATCCCAATTCTGTCCTTTATGACAGTGTTTTTCCTTCCACCACAAGGTCCAGTGCAGGATGAGGTGTTGTACTGAGTTGTACTGAGTCTGGTTTCCCTCCGTTTATCACCCAGTGTTTGTCTTTCATTACACTGAATATTTTGCCTACAGGCCAGCAGTTTTGTAGACTGTTCCTCAGCTGGAGCTTGTCTGATGTTTTCTGATGACTGGATCTGGGTGGTGTATGCACAGAAAAGAATAATGCAAAAGGATTTTGTATCTTCTTGCGGTGGTATTGCTAATCACCCATTCAAGGTGATACACAATTTCTTCACTAGATATGGTAGTAACTCTTCCTCTTATTCTATACACTATGTATTTTATAGGAAAATATTTTAAAACCATATAAATATTGTGCTTATCATCAAACATTTCCCTCTAGGTTTAGCATCTGTTGATTACTCTTTTGTGAAACAGTCTACACTGTGATAATTGTAAAATAATGATTTTTCATTCTACCATTGCATCTACATTTATCAGGTGACATTCTGCTGTTAAGACTAGCCTCTGGGGGCTGGGGATTTAGCTCAGCGGCAAAGCGCCTGCCTGGCAA